ACTCCTGTTATTGATAAGTGGAAGCAGTCTGTAGTAGCTTGAACCCTTTTTTTTTTTTTTTTATTGCGAGAAACTCTGAAAATTTCTGGCGGATAATTTAAGATAATTTACCCAGTCGAACGTTGAAGTATTCCATATGCCACACCTCGCTTCAGGGCGATTTGAACTTGTCGCTTGACCTCGCTCACGGGGAGGTTGTATTCCTGAGAAATGTGACTGGAGATTTCTCGCGGAGTCGATCCATGGACGGCTTGCAACCTGCGTATAGCCTCGACGACTTGCGCCTCGATTTTGCGAGACTTCTTCACAGGCATGATCGCAGCTAATTCTGAATATACGTACAGGGTGTACCAGAATTAGTGTAAGATCCAGAAATGGAGGGTAGCTGAGACGATTCTGAGCCACAATTGCTTTTGCAAAAATGTCAAATGGTGCTTCGTTTTGGAATTATTATAAATTATTATAGGATTTTAGCTTGCCTCTAGAATTTCAACGGTCCGATAGACTAGTATTCTCAATCGTTTCAACTATTGTCTTCGATAGTTCAGCCGATACGTCTATCAAGAAATGTTGCTTCCTTGACATTTTTTAAAACTTTATAGAAAGTCCTGTCACCCATTTCGAAGTGACGTGGCGATCAACGTGTTAATGGAACGAAAAATATATTGAAATGTTTCGAGACACGGTCGAACATGGTAAACTTACATTTTTGGAAACTGTAGCCTGCCAGCCGCCGTGTATTCGAAAAGATTGCCTTCATCTATGATGAATCCTTGCTATTGCTATAATTCTCATCAGGTCTGGTAGTCACATTAAAAATTTTCTATCCAGATGTCATCGAAAAGCGCTAGAGAACTTCTTCTCTAGTTCTTCTTTTTCTTTTTACTACGAACGGAGATTTGATCCTTTTGTTAAAGTTTTGGAAATATGAGCACGCGAAATTTCGTGCGATTTGACCAGAAATCGCAACCGGTCTCCACGAGACGATTGTCGGTTGCATACAGTCAGTCACGTCGCTAGTATTATCGTCGCCCGTTTGATACAGTGGCGTAATTGAAAAACGAGGATATTCTTATTCTGTATTCTGTATTCTTATTCTATACGGGATGTTGAATTTTTGCATACCTAAAACACATAAATTATTAGTAAATTGTGGATTTTATCCATTTATCACGAACAATAATAAATAAAACTACAATAATAAAGAATAATTATAATAATATTATTATTTCATTTACTGTATTAGTTTATATTACAAACACATGGAATCCGTAAACTAATCATTAGTAAGGGATCGATCGTTCTTTAAGTTACGAATAATTATACAATTGGGTATAATTGGGTTGTAATAACATACTATTGGGTTGATTCACAATGGAGTGCACCCTCTTGTGTCTAGAAAAAAGTTCCTTTTGAATTTCTTTTCCCTTACACGATGACGATATTCTCACGGAATAAAAGGTTGGTTGATTGTTTTATTTCAGTTTATTTGAACAGCAGAAACAATGCCAAACAGTGACGAATGTTTATTCTGCAGTGTTACTCTGAAGTTCTTTTTACAAAAATTTGTACGTTATACTGAAATAGTATATTAACGAATTAACATCTTGCATCGATTGTTCAATAAAAAATGGACATGGGGGTTCAGATACGGAAGATTCTACTGTACTTCTTTCCATTCAAGTTGTTTGGAAATGGTCGCTGGTTTGATAATTGGCGAACATCCAGCAAAAGAAATCAAGAAATCAGAATTCTACCTATTTCTTTCCGGTTCGCATGTCTACTTTCCTTCCATTCATTGGCTCGCGGTCTCTCTGTTGGTCTCGTTGGCCCAACAAAGCAGAAATAAAACGTCCACCGAATAGCGCCAGTAGACCGCGATAGACCTTTAAACGGTGACGTCACCGAAGCTGTTTTCTCATGCCTTCGTAAATATAGTACTCTTCCGCCTGTTTGACTTGCAAATTTAGTCCGCAATTAGAGAACTACTCGAAAAATTACCGTTCGAGTTATCGATGGGAGACGAGCGACGAGAAAAGTGAAACCGAGCGAAATGTGTCGCGAATGTTTTGTCGCGTTTCAATGGCATCTTGGAGCGAAATACTTGGACGAGAGGTCCATTTGAAATTGTTCGACTAGACAGTGAAATTGGTCCGAAATAAAGTCTTCCTAGAGGCAGATCAATTTTAAACAATATATTTAAATAGGAATTTCGTTCACAAGTCCAGGGATAGTTTTCACTCCTTGCACATGAACACCAATCGATAGAAAAAAATATGTTTGTGTAATATTTTTCAGTGTTCTAGTTATGTATTCTATCGATTGCATTAAAACGTACACACACAGGGTGTAACAGGGTTACGAAAGATGAAAAAAAGTAATCAAAGATTTTTACATAGGTGCTTCTTACTTAAGAAATACGGAATTCCGACTGTGAACTTGTAAAACAAGCAATATAATTTCTTCATTTTTTAATCATACATGGGCTATGTTCTTATTTTTTCTCATATTTTTAAGCGACCTCGGTACAAAACCAATGCATTTGTTTGAATCATATATATATATGCTATATTATTATGTACTACACGCGTACAAAATATATATTTGTATATATGTATATCTTACTGAGATTGTTATAATAGTTGTTATGCTAACTTCTACTAACCACAAATACGTGTTACAGTAATTGTTCACATAGCATGTTTCCTTCGTACGCCGATAAAATTCCATCATGTTTGAATATCGGTAATCGTTGAGCGGCGTGTTTGCTTAAAAAATTTCTGCCTCGTTAAAAATGAAAACAAGCCAAGATCGTACGTGATGCACATGCTTAACGATCCTGCAGGATAAAGCGTAACGCTTTATTATATAACGTATGCAAATTCGATACGGTAAATAGCTAGTTACTTGGAACAAAACAGGTATTTAGAAAAAATACGTTTTAGGTTAATGGTGGAGATTAGATGCGTCTGGAGCGTGGATCGATTATTAATTAGCGTAGAGATAAACGGTTGGTGTTAATTCAAACGATCGGTGAAATCGATCGATCTAATTTTAATCGAGTTCCTTCAGTTTACGTGATCACAATCAGAAATTAACCGTTACGTAGAACGTCACTTACCTACGTGTATTTCGCAAACTTGTTCGACTAATTGCAACACTTTAATTACCCTGTTATTGTAAACAAACTGTTTCTGTTGCGTTTTATATACATATATAAAAAAAAGTATAAATACAAGGAATAGATTTTGTACAAATGAAAATATAGGTAACTATATACGAGATTAATAGAGAAAAACGTGTGAGAAGTCAGTAAAGTATAATAATTTTATACAAGTGATGTGGTGTGTGTTTCGTTTCGCAACAGTCGTACACGTTTTTACGTCAATAAAGCAATTTGGGTTAAGAATCTGATGCCACGTGTAGTCATAGTTGCATTTGTTTGTAATCCAGCGATTATCTTGGGTTAGAATGGTAGGGGCTCGATCGTTGGATGCATACAGTGATGATTTCGGTAAAGTAATAGTCGACGTCGATGCTATTTAAGAAATCTCAGCCGCAGTAGGCGAGAAAGAATAAATTCTGATAAGGAGCTTCTTACAATGTTAGCGGGATCTCCTGCAGAGAGCAGCACGAACACAGTCGGACTCTACTGGCATCTGGCACGGGTTCATGGAATTTCGTGGCACCATCGCGAACCTACCATCGGTATCTCTAACGCACCAGAAAACCTTTTTTATCCGAATTAATCGTGGAATATGGTTCTTTAGATAAGGGAATACAGTCTAACCTGTTTGTCAGTGGTAGATAGGAAACGCATAAAAAAAAAATACGCACTTAGAAACTTTGTAAATAGCTACAACAAATAATTGTTCATGCCATATCGAAAAAGATATTTTGTTCTGCAGCGGAGAGGGACCGCATAAAAAAAGACTCACTTGGAAATATTCATTTTAAGGGAGTACTTGTGTCTAAAAATAAAATAAAAGTAATACAGAAACTGTATCTAAATAGAAAAAATAATTAATCTCAAAAGATGTGTAATGTGTATTGTGTATCCACACACATCGAAGGTCGGTAAGTATGTAACTAATGTCAAGCCACACACTGTTCGCAATGCAATAGACGACGCGTTTCGTTTTTCTTCCTTTATTAATAATCGACCGCGGTTATATGCTCGCGTTTAGTAAATTCGAATTTACAATATCGTATGATTTTCATATACCCCACAAGACCGCGCAAAACAGGTTTCACTGTATTTTTGTATTTTCTCGATGCTGATCTTTGTATATACATGTATTTCAAAAACCAGAATTTCAATATCGACAATAAAAATTACAAACACTATGTATCAATATAGATAATTTAGTTAATATTTTCAGAATGCCAAACTTTATCGACAGATTTGATTTGGTGAAATAACATTCTCGTTGCGTGTCGTACGATTTCATTCGTATTCATTCTTACATTCTTACATTTTTTTTTTTTTTTTTTTTTTTAAATCTTTTTCTATCGCCAATTGTATTTTTTCGTCAAGTATAGCGAAATGAGAAGCATCGTGAATGCACAAGGACGCTCACCGGACACGACGCATCCATCCATGCGAGATCCGTGTACGAGTTGTTTATTGTTAGCTGGCTGACACGAGTTCCTGCATAAACTGATTGTCCAAATGATTCTAAATTGCCTAGCTTCGTCACAGGAATTGTCGTATTAAGTTTAATGGATATTATAGATGATGCTAGTTAATGCTTGAGTTAGAAAAGAATGATGGATACCTTGTTCGATTCTTTCGTTCGAGCCTCCTTCGATATATTTGACAAAATTTTGAAAAAATCAAGTACGTTAATTGATGAGAGTTTTTTTATATACATATTATATAAAACAGTAAAATAAAAAAGTAAAATTAACTGCATACAATTCTGACGATCGAGTCCGCCCCAAATATTTTGCGGTTATGTAGGAAATATTTGAAAGATATTTAATCCTATAATTTTTTTCCCCAAGTTCCCCAGTTCAGTTCCCTAATGATAGAAATACGTAATTAAAATGTCCCGCAAACGTGTGTTACAGCAGAAACGAATATTCGGAAGATGTTAGTCGAAGATTCGTAAGCGTAGGCGTTATTTGCTCGGGAGGATGAATTGGAAAGAGTAGCGGAGAATCGTGGCCAGGCCAAGCGAAAGTGGTCGCATAAATGTCGGGAACAGAACGCGCGGCTTAACGAATGTGGAGAGATCGGTGAACCGGAAGCGAAAGGCGCGCAGCTTCACGATTCGTTTGGTACGAGGTATACGCGTAAGATCGTCAGCCTTCTGGCCTTTAATGAATCCCGAAGCGAGAAATCTCACGTTCTTTATCCTGTCCATTTTATGGGACATTTTCATCGAATTCTTTCTCTTGTCCACCTTGCAGCAATCGCCGCGCGACGGATTTTCTTCGCGGAGATTTCTTACTAATTGCTCGGCCGTTCATTTCTTTGCACACCTTCTACGAATCCCAGAGCACACTCGACCACCTTTCAAACAATGTTATTTCAAATATTATCTCAGATTTTATGATCGATATCGTATATATTTTTATACAAAGGTGATCATTTAAAATCGCAGGCTCCATTCTATATCTCGATGACAAATATTCTGTGCTTTTTCATTAATGTACGACTTATTTTCAGTCATTATTTTGCCGATTATATGTCATTGCGGACACCTTTTCTTTAAACGTCCCTAACTTCATTAATTTTCCAAATTTAATCAAATCCTTTGGTAGATGTACATATAGTATCGCGATACCCCTAAGTCAAGAATAAGGAGTTCAAGAAGAACACGAATTGCAGGGTACGGGATTGGTCGTGTAGAAGAAACCGACGACTTTGAAGATCGTGGGGTCCAATCTCCGTGGCTTATTTTTCGTAGAAATTTCTACAGACATATTTTTAAAAATCTATAGTATAGTATAGTATAGTATAGTATAGACTCTATACTTTGAGAAAGTGCAAAAAAGTCAATATTTTAAAAGCTCTAGACTAGAATACCTCCTCGATTACTTTATCCCGCGGTATAGAAGAAATTATAAAGCGACGATGTAAGAAAGTGTAAAGTATTCGAATGATAAAGTTACTCGCTGTAGTCGTCTGTACGAAACCTTTTACCCATCGGGTAACGTGGTAGCCAGTAAATTCTGGAGGCATGGCCTTGCCGATCGCAAACATCGCCGCCGCTGCAACTCGCTGTGTCGATATCGTCGCCGTTACGTAAGCCTCAGGCATCTCATTCAATCGAGTTTTCCAAGTGTTACATCTGAGTCACCATCTCGCTGTGATTTACCGCGAACGAGCGATTCTAAATATCAGAAAATAATATTACATTTAATTTCAGAATTTTCTCAGAATTTTCCATTATATTATCGCATTACGTTAACATACTGTTTCCTTAGAATGCAATTTCTAGTTTTCTACCTAGAAACACGGTTACCTTTGATTCGTGTACCTACAGACTTGTCTGTAAATACTTTTTCCTTTAATTGGATATTTCTAAAACGATTAGATGTCATATGTAATATTCTACGAGTATAGCATATATGTATGTATACGTGTCTTACCATCCTGCGAAAGCACATTAAGGAGGACAGATTGAATCCTTTCCTTGTCTATCTGATATTATGGCAGACAACATGTCGAGTTCCGCATTCATAAAGTACTATTGAATGGAGTACACAAGTTGCGTAATAGTTGTGTCGTCTTCAACAGTCTTATTAATCCTTGCGGTAACAAAACACCCCCGAACGATAGTTGGTTACCGAATCCAAAATTTAGGTAGTTATCGATGATATCTTATCTTTTTAATCGACTTCGAAAAGGAGGAGGTTACTCGATTCGACACGTATATATTTCTTTTTCTTTTTATCTAGGAAGATCTCCAAGGTTATCGAAGGTTTTCGAGAAGTGGCCTAAGAGAAATATTCATATTCGTTAAATCAATTTAAAAAAAATATCGGCTTATAGGGGATGATTAGACGAATCTGTTTTATATTTACAGTTTATTCATAGGATGCTTAGATTCGAAAATAAAAATTGAAAAGTTAAAAGTTCGTTGGAAAACATGAATTTCAGGAAAAAGGCTTTCTAAGTTTTCACTTTTTATCTCTGAAAATGAACGTCGTATGAATAAACTGTAAACATAAAAAAGTTTCGTTTTGTCATTCTCTATGAGATAATATATTTTTTTTTAATTCTATTGTTCGACCGGTATTATTTATTATTTGTTAAATTATTTTTGATATGTTTATGAAATTTCGAATAACGGAGGTTCCAGCGAGTTGTTTGTATTATCGTTTGTCGGTGTTGTATCATTGTGATCAATGTACTCGTCCAGCTGCGGCACGCACGGAGAAGCTCAATTAAATTGATCTCGGTAGTGTACCATTTTATTACGGCATTGTAAGGAACAATTGTTTTCTCACGTGTCTGAAAAACCGATTGTCAGTGATGTCACGTCCGGAGACCGGCCTTCGTAGCCGGCACGTCCGGCACCGAGTCTTTTCTATGTAGATTCAGAAAAATGGGAAAATCACGATCGTCGCATATCGTTTTAGGAATTTTTAGATTAACTTTTGATTTACTGCTTTTTTTCGCGTTGTATCGCAAATAAATACTAGGTAATGCTAGTAAATATTGAGACAATAAATTTGAGTTAACGCTACAAGACTAGTTTCTCAACCGTAAAGAGGTAATCAAGCTCTTATTTGTTCGTAGTGACTCCCTAAAATCGTTCATCAAATGAAGCGTACTTTCTTCTTCCATTTAGCAGAATAATAAGTGGCATGAACTCGTGGGACGATCTAATATATCTTAAAAATGCAAAAAAAAAAAACATTGGCCGAACTAGACTTCCCCCTTAAAATCTTCAGTCCGCATATCCGCCGTTTCTCTAACCCGCTTCATTGATTGCCATAGATTCTATAAATGCTGCGCGTTCATCCTGTGTACCGTGGTATTTAACGGGAATGGCAAAATGCCTTGCGAATGCCGCAAGGACACGATGCGCATTACAATGCTACCTAATGCACGTGGTACTTTCCCACGTGATTAGTCACGGACTTTGCCGTGAACGAAACAAAAAAATAATAATGAAAATATCTCGATGATGACGAAATTTTAGGTTTAGTGCTAATTCAAGTCAATAATTTTTTACTTCGATACTCCGACTTCGATATATGTATTTACATGAAAAGTATAGCATTCCATTTAGGATAACGAAGCAGACCTTGAAATTGCGGAACGAATTTAGTCGATCACGTGCGATCATTTAACACTATTTTTAATTAACGATATATATATATTTAGTTTTAAATCGTGTAATTTCTGTATAAACAGTTTTTTTTATACTATGCATACTTTAGATTCTAAAGTTTACAAGTTAACGGGGTTGAGCACGTTACGTGGACCACCCTCATAACCCATCATAATTGGAGAAGTACCAAAGATGAAAATGAATTACAAAAATGATTTAGTTGGATTGTTGAAAAATTGTTTAAATTACCATATCAAGAAACTTTCCTATAGAGAGAATCAGGAAGATCCTAATAACTTTGTAACAAATCAACGGGTCGAACTGGCTTCGCCATTCAACATTTTTGAATTCGGATATCTGATTCGTAATCAGAGAGACGAAAATCCTTCCACGTAGAGTTTTATGGAAATCCGAAAATTGTTTTTATTTTTCTAGAATTCCAGCCCACCGTGCGACCTCTGTATCTCGAATATCTCGGAAATATCTCGAGCACGGGATGGTTCGATATCGCGAACGGTACTCCCACGTGTCAGAATCACGTGGCGGGACACGCGAGCAGCGGCACTCGATGAAAATCGTGTCGAAGGGTGGGGGTGGTGGCTCGATGGGGAGATCGGGGAGCTAATAAATACAAAGCGTGCAGAAACAGAACTACGTACCTGTTTATTGGCTGCCTTCGAAGGGCTCTTGCGTAACGAGTGTTACAATAGCTCGATATTAAATCAAGAAGTTTCGAAAAATACGACAGGGAATTCCCAGTATTTAAATTTAACTCATTGATCGCATACGTCCTGAAATAAAACGGAAAGAAATTTTATCCGTTATTTCATGCTTTCCTGGCATTTGTACGCGTATAGTGACGGATATACATACGGTATACTTACGTGCATACACACAAATAATTATTTTCATAATACGTGTTGGGTGATATCAACGATACTTGTAATTTATAGAAAGCAGATAGAAAATCGACCACTTTAACATCAGGTTTACAGAACACGGTTATTTTCACTTATTCCAAAAGGTTTTGTAGAGAACCATTTTGTTTCTTGCCAACCATTTATGCCGACTTTTATCCATATGTACGATTTAGCCTGACAGCCGACATGTGTTAAATTATTTTTACAGCTGCTCGTAATGAAATTCGATCGGTTAAGGAACGGTAAAATTCACGTAGAGAAGGAGGGAGTGCAATTAGTTTCATTCGGTTTGGACGATTTAGCGTGCGCAATCAGTTTGACAGGCTACAGGGAGTCTGTAGAACTTGGTCAGCCTTCCGTGCCTAAATTGTATCGGAGTGGAGGGGTTTATTATCGTTTAACATTCTCGCACGATTTCGCCAGTCAATCGCAGCCGGACCGAGACAGTGACGAACGTCCCGCGCACTCTTTTGTATTTTCCGCGCCGACGGCGCGGCGGCGTCCATATTTAAATCTCGCAGCCGGTCTCCTGGCCTCGGTTCAACGAGATCGTTCTGTGGGCCACGTTCGTCCAAGTATGAGAGACTCCGTTTTTTATACATATACACACGTGTGTATATATATAGATAGATTTTGTTTTTATTCCTATCTGTTCCCATTTTCCTTTCGTCGAGATGACGGTGTAGAGGGTGGCGAGCGGCAGATGGGGTAGATGGGCGAGACATTGCCTGGCGTTCGACAGATAAAGGTCTTGTATAGGTCGATTAAAATATAAATTGCGTTCGTGGACCGCATGGTTTCACCCTTCACGGATGAGGTAATTCTTCTACATTTACGTCCGGCTCTCAAGTGCGACCTCTGTAAAGGATAAACGTACCTTTGGAATCGATGCTCGACTTGGGGGGTTGCGGTTGCACGGTGCATCAGATTCTATTCGCGAAAGGATTTGACCCTAATGAGACAGCGAATACATCTGATTGTCGTTGGCCAAATTACAATTGCGACTCACAGGAACACATGTAAACAAAAACGAACGCTATCTACGCTGGGACAAATAGTCCCTTTCTTATCTGGCTACGGTCTTTCGTTTATAGACAACCCTGGTTTAACGCGATTCATTTCTAAAAAAGAAACGAATTGAATTCAAATAGAAAACAGACGTATCGAAAGGATCAACACGTGTACAGTTAGAGTTGGTATTATTAAAATTGTACGACATTCGTTAATAATTGAATCTGGAGAAATCAAAAGTAGAAGGTGACGAGTCTTAGCGACAAACAGTTAGGCGACGCCGACGGTTAAGTCAAGAATGTTTTATTAATGGTACATGCAAGATTATATCCAGGATAAATGAAGTAGCCCATTAAACAGTGTGTGACAAGCACCGATGACTGCGTAACGTGTTCCCCCCTCCCTTAGATACACTTTGTACGTTCGTATACATACGACGCGTCGGCCCCAGTCCCAATGATTCGCGCATGAGATTACTTTGATATACGACAGTTTGTCGTCGAACACGTTGGGTTGTCGCAGGTCAGGTCAATTCAGGTCGACGTACTCCATGGCCACGGCTGACGTGCCCTCGGTTCCCCACCTTGGCGGTATTTTTTTTCAATTTGATCGTTCGACCGTTGTTTTTTCTTTTCCTTTAAGAAAATAGCACCACGTTTACGTTTTTAATTATCGAACAACCAAGTTCGGCCATTTATCGAAGCGCGTCTAAATTGGGCATCGTTTCTGCGATTGCGAACGATTGAATATCCCATTAAAACGGTTGTCGTCACCTCCTCGAGGCCGAGTATCAATTAGTCGATGATTAATTTCGGGATGAATTATTCATCGCGAAAAACGTAACGTGACACGCTAATTAAAGCTGGATATCCACGGATCATCCCTCTAACGAGGAAAGAATATCGAGTTCCAAATATCCTTATCGATGTTCTCGACCGTTTTTTATTAATAGAGTGTATCAGTGGTCTCACTAGTCGATTTGTCTCTACGATGAATCAATATTATACTAAGGACTGATACGTGACGTAAGGACTGATAATAAACACTAGAATATTTTTCATATAATTATCAGTCATTCTCAAATCTATAAACGTGGAAATTAATTTTATATTCAAATCGACAGATTCGCTTTTTTCACAAATGACGAGTCGCTGCAAATTATTTGCTTCGGTATCGTGATAGAGCAGTTTCTCAACCTTTTCGTTTTAAACGATCACTCTATCAGACCTGTTTTTTCATTCGCTCTCCTAATGTCATGTCATTCTCTATAAGGTGATATTTTTTAAAAAATTGGTTTGACGAATTGCACAATAAATCTATCACGACCGGTCAAATGACTATTTTCAAACTTTTGTATACAGTTCCCCAGATATACATATGATCGTTTGAATGTCAACGTCGAAATGAACCGCCTAGCCGCGGTGCAATACATCAAACTAGGTGAGAACATTGATTTCCAAATATCCTTATCGCAGCGGTCGACTTACCTCTCGACGTAAGAATACGTTAATCCGTTTGTCGCAGCTCGCAGCGGTTCGAATTTCATGCGTCAGCCGGCAGCTGAAATAAACTGGAACGTTCAGCGAGCGCGTCTCCTATCGGGGTGTAAGCATACACGTGACCAAGGAACGTGCCTCCTGGTGCACGTGGACCCGAGCACATCCCCCGGCATCGCCCTCCGCTCACTCGTCGAGCCTCGTGCTTTCAACCCTCTTTCGCTCGAGGCGGAGGAGAGGAACTTGTTTCTCTCAGTCATCCTCGAGCCTCTTCAGGCTCTACGCGCGCGTATTCTTCCTTGATTATTCGTACGTGAAATACGCGAACTTCCTGATAATCTCTTTAAGGAACGTAAGAGAGAGAGAGAGAGAAAGAGAGAAAGAGAGAAAGAGAGAGAGAGAGAGAGAGAGAAAGAGATGGGGAGGGGTAGGGGCAGGGGGAGGGAAAATGTTGCAATTATTATGTTTATTTTCATGTACGCCACGTATACATATATACATACATACATAAATAATACAGTACAAGTCCATTTATTCGAATCGGGGGACAACCAGATAATTGGATAATTCATATAACTGGAGTTGACGACTCGAGTTCGGATAATAAGAGCTCACCAAAATGTTCCGATAAACAGAGTTTGGATAAATAGAATTCTACGGTACGTTGCGTGAACCGAGTTCGGTCAATAAAAACACATCAAAGTGTTGGTGTAATCATAACCAAGTACCGTGGTATCGTCAGTTCGAACAAATGGAGTTCTACTGTACGTTGCGTTTGGTGAGTTCGAGTAATACGAGCTCACCAAAGTGTTTAGACAACCAAAAACCGTCGTCAGTTCGGATAAGTGGAGTTGTACATACTGTATATTAATTCACACACGTATATACAGGCATATATAGGGCTGCAGAGGTTTCGTTCGATTCGAGGATCGGTTTACCGCCAGTTGGGTTCTTTTCGGGCAGCGTGTCTTCGAGACTTTCTTTGCAGATGAGTAGTGGAATTACACTGTTTAGCCGTGAAAGAGCGTGACCGAGGACAATGTGACACGTTCGATCGTCATCTATCATCGTTGTTTCTGTGATAGAGAGAACATTGTGCTCTTCTTCTACTTGTTAATCTTACGGTATTCGATGGTCAAAGGATCGCGAAGGTGAGGAGACGGACACGCTTTGAAAAGTCTGGCACTTTCGTTCGAACCGTTCGCGATAGCTTTAGAAGATTTAGTGTAAAAGATCGAGAGCACAGCGACTGAATATGGATACGAATGGGATTGATATTTTCGTAGAAAATCCTTGATATATAGTAATGGTTCGTTAAAATACTCGCAGGATTTGATTTGTCGCGTGATCATCGTTATCTAGATCAACTGGGGAGATTCTTTTTGCAGTCAGTGACGCGTGGCAGGTGATATCGGTCGTGACGTGGTTCAGGATATGTAAAAACTAATCGACAGCTTAACAATATCACTTGTATAAACACAAAATCGAACGAGACGCTACTCGGTTCCGCTTATGTGAATTTGCTCGGTCACAAGTGGACATCATTTAACAACAACAATTTAAACTGTTACTTTCAAACTCTTACTTGAACCCATCGTGAAGACAAAAGCCAAGTGTTGTTTGTGTCCGAGTTTCGCAATGTTCCTTATTAGTGAAATCCCTTGAAAGTCTCGCGAAGAGTTCCGAAAGACGCGGTGGCTCGAGGAGCAGTGTTTTGCCAGTGGCCAGTGGCCAGTGGACAGTTGGCGCGAAACGAAATTGCAAACGAAAGGGAAACCAGAACGATCGAAGGCCTGTAAGCTGGCATCGAGAGGCGATCCTAGCGCGTGGTTTCGAATGGGGAGCGAGGAGAGAGGAGATGGGATGCCAAATGTGGACGCCGCCGCCGCCGCCGCTTCTTCCTGGCAGCAATATTACACCTGGTGCGCCCCGTATTCTCATCCACACCCTCACCCCCATACGAATACGCATTCCCATTCCCATTCACACTTTCACCATCCGAATCACCTCAATCAGTACCAGGCTGGCCAGTATCAACAGGAACCTCAGGCGGCATCCACGGCGAACACTTCCGCCCACTATCCGACCTCTCAGCAGTATCATCTGCAACTTCAGCCCTCACAGACACCACCCTTGCACCAACAGCAGCAATTCCACCCCGTTAGGGGACAGAACGCGCCGAGAAGAGCCACCGCTTACGACCGACCAGGTATCCAATACTGATTTCACTATGGCTTCCAGTGGGTACCATGCCGGCTATGTGCTCTAGGATGTCCCACTAGGACAGCGGTCCTCGAACTTGTTTGCCGATGGAACTATTTATTTCAACAACTAAGTATTACTCTGTCCCATAAGTTTTCTCTTTTTCTTCTGTGAAATGAATACACGATATTTGTTGTTGTTGTACACATTCACGCCGGCGCTGATATTTGTGTTCCTTCGCCAATGGGGCGGCGCGACGTGGCGCGGTGGTACACGCTGGTTTGAACGTGTCGAGGTTGATTTATTATGTTACACGGAATAGAACTACTTCTTTATTATTTAATAAAACTTCCTATACGACGACTACGTTTCCAATTTTGACAATAGACGTATTATTTTTACATACTTAATACAAAAGATACTAAAAATGACCTAAAAAGCACGCCTCTTTAAGTCACAATAAGATACATACAAGATCCTGAGAAGGAATTCGTCGTAAAAATGTTGCTAGTCTTTCCACTGCCAGTTCGATTCATCGTGCTCTACCCAATCTCGTCCTTGGCTTCCGGATACCTATTATCCTGATCGCAACCCTAGAGGATTCTACGCGTAATTACATAAGCGCAACGGACGATCGTCACGCGACGTCAATCACCAAATGGATCGATTCTCCTGGAAGAATTAATAACGTCGGAGAGCTCAGCTTCTTTCGTGAATATCGTATATATCATCCTGATTAAAATCCCATTCTGTCGTTTATACGTTGGCTCTGTCTATGTCTATACCCTTGAGGATCGCGTTTCTTTCACGTAAATCTCTTGATATCCCTTGCTTCTTTAACGGCGGCCAAATAAACCTTAAAAAAAGGAGCCGTAGAATCGACCGATTAACGTAATCGATACCTTCGGTGGTACCAAAAGAAGCAAACGTAAAATCGCCTTCTGTGTTTGTTACACGTTTTCGTCTACAGTTCGACAAGTGACACACGCTGAAAATTTGAATTTTTCGAGTTATTTTTATGGTATGTTTACATCTTTTAATATATACGTTTGACTATTATACAATTATACAATCGAACATAATTATCGATATGTATGTGAACGAACTACTTTCTGACAAAATTTTGTCGCATAAAAAAAAAAAGGAAATAACAGAATTGTACAAGAAAAATTCTGAATATGCATCAATCAAATAATACATATACGTATAGCGACCTCGAGATCTTGTAAGCGAAAGTTAAAAGGATACTCTCCATCGTTGAGACAGCCGAGAGCACGATGATCATTTCAGTCGAATGCAATAATCGTTGACCTTTGTTTGCAACAGTAGTGAAAACAAGTAGCAACGTTTCAAGTGCGGTATGCGCGATGGGTGCTCGCGTGGAAAACGCGAAACGATTTCGGACGGGCTCAGAGCGACTCAGAGGCGTCAGAGTGCCGGGATGACGAGGGTAGATGCGATTTTTCTGCGAAATGGCATTTGCGTAACCGCGCGACACAATCTACGTGGTTGCTTACGTATCGCGGACGAAAACAAAAATGTCGACGAAAACGACGATCGACGAAGTAAATCCACCCTGTCTGGGTAGAAGCGTCGCGAAGGGATGAAGACCGAGACGAGTAGGAAGTCTCGACGCAACCGTCGGTGAAACGAACGCTGAATTATTCATAGAATCTGTTGCTTTTATTCGACCGGTCGCGTTGTCGTTTGTAGTTTGAATTTATTAAGCCCGAACTGTGGAAATGACCAGCGAAGATATTTAAATAAGAAATTAAGAAATTATTTAAAAGTTATTTAGGATGATAGAGTTAACCACCTCGCCCTGTGTATGTGCTCTCCTTAAATTTATATTAAAAGTTGTACAATTTTTCTTTATAATTAAACGATAAGTTTACCTTAGAAAGGCACAGAATTCATTTCTACACCTATTGTGCTTGTTTGTTTCCGAGTTGAAGGAGCTTTTTCTATAAACTTTGTAACACACAGGACTCTTTCCAAGAATCATGTTTGTATACTCGTCCGGCATTCTCATAGCTGCACTTCCAGTTGAAAAGACAGAAACCGTCTTTGGTAATGTCAGTAATTTACTATAATTGTTTTGTGGCGCTGTGCACCAACCGAGGTGCCGTCCTTTAACTTGGACCCGTCAGTGAATGCAATTGTATATTCATCGCGATATGTGTTTGTAATGGCATTACAAATTTTCTACTGGATATAGTGATAGCTTGAGAATTTCCTAGTCGTTGGTTGCTCTTTCCAGCTGAGCAATTTGTACTGTGTCTGACAAAATGTCTATCAGAGAAATCCTCTATGAAGTCCGCTATAATCTTAATACGTACTAGTAAAAAAAACAATCCTTTTATGTCTGCGGATGCAGTCTGTGCTTTGGTAGACAGTTTTACGTTTGATTGGCTTCATAGAATTCCAACAAAATGTTAACGGTTCGTTAGAAGCTATTTTAGATGCTGCTTAGAGAAAATATATTCCAAGTATGTTGTACGAACAGAAAAATAATTTAGCGTTACTGTTTAAAGAAAAATGAAATTGTAACAAATAATTGTCTCACAAATCGTAATTTTATTTTCAAAAATTCTGCATGTCGGAATTTATCTAATTGTAAGAGAGCCCGTGGGAGGAAATGAGCTCTTCGAAATAACGTTGTCCATATCTTGAAAAGAAGGCGAATGTTTTCGCGAGCGTACATTGTTATGAAAACGTAGCAGTTGGCTCGTGCCATTATTTTCCTCCCATGGAAATTCATGATAATCCTGGCGCTGAAATAAACAGCGACGTCCATCATCCGTAGTGGCGGTACACGAAAACCGTATCTAATCGTTCGCCATTTCCATGAGCGGCACTGTTTACCATTGGTCCATCCTTTCTCGCTCGTAGTTTCATACTCTTCTTTTATTCAAATTGAAACGTGGTCAGTCTAGGCGACCACGTCGGGCGGTTTCCAGTTACTTCGACGATGATACTCATCCTGTGCAATGAATTTTGATGCGTTCGCTTCTCTGAAGCAATTTGTCCAATTCGATACCGTTGTTCGAGGACATTGAAATGATTTAGCAATTCTAGCAATTTCTTCTCGAAAGCATTATAATTCGTATACGAATTGCTAGTAAACTAATTTTTTAATCAAATTGGAATTTTTATTTATTTACTTTTCTTTTTTCTTTTTTCAATCTGGGATATTGGAATTATTTAATCTGTGTACTGTGTGTACTCGGCTAATATAAAAAAGCAACTAGATGTGCAAATACTTATCGACCCACTGCGATATCCTCGACGTTTCTGTAATTTGTATAGCAACAGTTGGAAGGTTCGCTCGCACGTAAAGAGGAAACACGAAATAAGGAGCTCGAAACGGCCACGAGAGACGTTGAAACGTTGAAACCTTGACGAACAAATGGAAAATCCCCGTGGCAACGGAAATCGACTTGCCAGGACACGCGACCTGTAATATTCCAGAAAATTCGCGAACAAGTCGCGGAAGGTCTCTTAAACGCGTCTCGAGAGCCTCGCGCCAATTAGTTCCAGCGTCATTAATCGCGGCGGCGTTCAACCGATCTACGATCTTTCGAAGATCTCCCGTGGTTCCCGTTTTGGTCGTTTCCACGAAGAATACAACGTTAGCGCGTTCGATCGAGGATCCCAAGACGCGATTTCCAGCGCTCAAGGACGCTGGTGTTCCGTCTCGTTGGCGTGGATAATGCAACGTTCCAGGATAAACTCGGTGGTCAATGTTTATTCCTAAGCAGACGATAGCAGGATGCCAGTCGGCGAATAATCGATTTCCTCCTCGTTCTCCTCGTCTCGCTATCCACCAGTCTATTTCAACCAACTCCATTCTCGAACTTTGTTACACTCGTCCGTCCCACTCGGCTCCTTCCTGCGAGTTTCCACCTTTTTTCCACCTTTTTTCCACCTCTTTTCCACCGCGAAACTGAACCGCTGCGATCTTTTTCTTCGCGTTACGTCTGCCACTCGATCAAGGATTTGCTCGAAGGCGAGGCTAATATTCCCTTTCCAATGATTCCGAGCTACGACAGCGACAGCGACAGTCTGGTCGAATTAACATCAAACCTACCGACATTTTATTTATACATTGCGAAGCATAACATTCTCTAATAATACAGTCAAAATCACAGATAAAAGTAAACGAATGTCTGGATTCATCTACAACTTGTTTTCCACAACTTTATTCTGTCCCGCCATGTTAGATTCTCCATTTTTATTTCTGAATGTTGAGTTTAGATTTATAATCAGTAACTCCAACCATTTCGACAGTCTATGAAATAACGGCACAGAGTAAAGATTTAAGATCTACCAAGTTCGCAATGAAATCGAGAACGAGTCGATTAGAATCGATTACTTTTCAAATGGAATTTCATACGACCTTTGTTCGCTTGATTTCACGAGTTAATCCGCGATTCTCGAAAATATCGATCTATCGGCTCTAAAGTACTAACAGGGTTAACAAAAAAAAAAAAAAAAAAAATAACAGCTCGATTCGAGGTAGGTGATGCGGTGAGTCATCGGGCGAAATCCACCGGAAGATCTGCTCGACCCACACGCGCTGACATGACTCGCATGTGCAAGCAGATGCACGCGCTTCACGTGAAAATCTGAATGTTTCATGGGGATTTGTGTTAAAATCGCAGAATTTTATTATCGTTTTTCATAAAACTGGAGTGATTAATTTAAATCGAAACAGCCTCATAAGATTCATATTTAATCAAAGAACGTTCAAGCGAAGTTTTGGTAAAATCCTCCATTAAATAAATTCGCTGTACAACTACCTTAAGTAACAAATTATTCGATGCACATGTAAATCGAAACATTAGCAAATAATATTGATCTTTGCGAAGGTCGTGCAGTGTCCAATTACACTGGACACGTTCAACAGGTTCTTTCACAGGTAAATGATAGCGGTGTCTCCGAACGTTGAAACGACTAACCGTAGTTGCTTATTGGAACCTGGCTGCAAGGGTAGAAACATCCGATAACTCATATTCGCGATTAACTCGAAACCGGTGCTAGTTAGCGTTGCAACGCACCGGCATAATTGCATCCTGACAGTGAATAGATTTACACTTACGCTCGAGGATACGAGCTTCTGCCAATATCATTCTCTCTAATCAACCGATTATACGCGTTATTCATTCCGTGGCTTTTCGAAACGATATAACGTCACGGTAGCGGTTTTATTTCGTTTACTCGTCTCATCCTATAATCATGGCCAACGCGAACCATCCCGAGCAAGTATTTCATTCTCATTCGAGCAACAGGATAGATAGAAACGTGCTTAGGAATTTTCATTTTTCATTCAATTTGCGACCGATCCCATGAACGCTACTATTAAAACTGCCTGTCTAGCTCCTGATTAAAGCTTCCGTAAAACCACCTGAAATCTCTCACAAACATTGATTCGCGCGACAATACCCGGGAAAATCGCTAAAAATGTCCCATCCACGAAAAATGAAAGTCTAAACATGGATGGGAACGAATGGTGACAGGATCGATGTGCAAAAGTCGCATAACATTAGGTTCGTGTGTGGCGCGTCACGGCATCGGCATGGCGCAACGAATCGCATTCACCGGTGGTAAGGGCGAGGTAAAACAAAGCCTAATAAAGGGAGGAGGGCATCAGAGAAAGAATCCATGGCGAACAAAGAAGAGAGTCTTGTTCGCGAAGACATTGGCTCGATCGTGGCACGGTCGTGGCTCGGTCCTAAGCGTGTCTGTACGAGTCTCCCACTTGCGCATTATGCGACGAGATACCCTATCTGCTACGAGAGGACCGTTTTCCCGTTCTTTTCTGTGGCTCATGGCTGATCCCTGACCTCTGCGCTGCGATCCCGGTCCAAACACCCTCCCTACTTCGCCATGCCATGCCATGCCGGGCCCACGCGCCGCGGCCGGCGGTCGGCGGTCGGCGGCCGTCGGACACCAACCTAAGCTTTAGCTCTCTTTTCTACTTCTTGCTTGACCGTTTCATTTCTTCTACCGATCAGATCTCTACATCCTTACTAATAAGAAGAAGAAGAAGAGGACTCTAGTTGCTCGAATTACTTTAAAGTATAGTTCTTTTTTGATTTTGAAATGAATACCGAAGCTTTGTCCTACAAGCACGTGTGCGACTCGAGGTTGGGTTATCGGGCCAAAAATGTGTATCGCGAGCCTGGTTTGTGGTTTATTCGTCGGGCTAAGCGTGAACAACTTGGGTTATTTCTCACGCGAAATTGGACATTAAATCGAGCAACATCTCAGACTTTGTGCAAATTTGTGTATGTTGCAGTCTTTAGTGATAGATGAATGTGTCTCGAAACGATTTTTCAAAATTTCAAAACTTATGGATTTCAAAGGTGATTGAGAATCAGTTTTTTTTTAACCGTGCATTTCTTTCCAGAATTATAGCTCTTTTGAAATTTTTGAAATTTTTGAAACATCCTTCGAAATGTGATCAAGTATCACTAAAGACTGCAACATACTCAAATTTCCACAAAATCTGACGCTTCATTTAATGTTTGTCCATGTGTCTCACTCTAAACAGTACGGGCCAGACTCGTGATAGATTCTTATTACCACTTTAAAAGAAACAACGATTTATTCAGAAATTGAAATTAAATGTTATTGATTTATTATCTAGTTCAAGATAATACACATTTTGTGGTATATCTATCACAATTATTAACACGTATTATTTATTGTTTTATTTAGTATACAATATATACATATTTATATATTTATATTAATATAGTATAATAATATTTTTTGTAATACTCAAAATGTACATGTATCTACACTTATATGTATGTATACAATTTGTAAAATGTCTATCTCTGATTATCGTATTTATAAAATCTGTGGTGACTGGCCTGTAGACAGTAACGAATAGATACAAATAGCGAACACAGCTCTGTCTTCCCTTTCTTTGATCTTTCATCTCCAGTAACTTTAACATTTGTCAATTAGCTATTTTACGACAGCCGCGAAATAGTTTTCATACGGCTCTGCTTCTCTCGCTCTTTTTATATCTATCTGTCACTTTCTCTCCCTCTTTGTATCTCTCATTTTCACACATGACGTTCACGCAATATTGTACTTGTGTCGTTTTCAGGTGACCCCATGATAACATCCTCTCTGAAGGGTAAGTGACAAACGACAGCTCATTCTGTTCTCTCTCTCTCTCTCTCTCTCTCTCTCTCTCTCTCTCTCTCTCTCTTAATTTTTTCGTCTTTCGCCCTCTATTTTATTTTATTTTATTTTTTGGTTCTGCATCCATCCTTGAACGAACGATCCAAGCGATGATCATCGTTTCCGTCCAACTGCTAACTTCTGGATACAAGACATCAGTGAGGCGCGCGTCTCTCATTTGCATGTGCTCTTTTCTCTCTTCAGTTCTTCATTCACGCTTTACACTAGGGTTGGACGCCACGGCTGCTTTAGCATATGAGATGTACGCATAGAGATATTATAGATACAGTATGGGAGTCGGACGCTGATGCAGTCATGGTGACCAGCCTTGCTTTACACCTTTTTTTACACACGTAGGAATTAGAAGAAGGAAACCAAGACGTTCTACTGCGAATCCTGTCCAATTGAAAGATCTGTCGATCACGGATGTGATCTAGAGATGGGCAGACTTTGAGGTTACGTTTCATAACCTGAACCATTTTTTGGAACGTCTATCGTTACAAATTTTACATATTCATCCGATTTGTTCCTGTTGGACATGGCAGTTTTAACTTGGACATTAAAAATGAAAGTAAAGTTTATTCGAATAATTAAACGCGAATGGAGAGTACACAGTGTTACTGCCCGGAAAAATCTACTTGGATGTAAAAATCACTTTGTGAATTTCGAAATCTAAAATTTCAAGTTTCAAGATCCACTTCGAATTTTGATATTTTTTAGACGATTATAAAACTATTCTTTAACCGTTCGGTGAATTATGGAATCATAACAACGAAGATAATAGTAGAATACACTAAAATCCTTCTCGAGCATGATGAAATATGCCTCATTTTCTATAATTCAGGATGGTTGATTTTATGAAAAGTGACTAATCAAATAAATTGTACCAATGAAGATTGTGTGAAATAAAATTGGTTTTGTGTGATTAGAATTTATTTTTCGTAATAATTGTTTGGGTGTGACATAACAAGTGATTGATAACACATTTTGAAGAGATGGAGAAATTGTTAATAACTGATATAGGATTTCAGGAACTCTATAAAGAAATAATAACAAAATTTTTTGTAAAATTATTGGAGAAAATGGTCTGAAATCATCTGTTCACAAAACTATTGAATGGATGTAAGCAGGTTTTTCCGTTACATGAATTGCCAACGGAAATATTGATTTACAAAATGAGATTTGTACTGTATGTACTATATGTCCGTTAGGACAACTAGTCGCGTCCTTGTAAATCGAGTAGAAAAACTTTTCGTTAAAAATGTACATGTTTGCACCGATAAAAGAATCATCGATTCGGGATCATCATCGGCATCGCTCCTCTCCGTTTTCCGTTTCAGCGCGAGCAGAGTTTCCGCGGGGCGGATGCAAACGGGATTGGCTGCTCGTGCCTGGACAAAAGGCCGTTTAATATGTGCATTAATTCGACGCGTTTCATCGTCAATAATTTATAAGTCGCGAGGCTATTAATTACGCATCTCGTACGCTGAGAAGCTGCGGCGATTGCTTGGACGCTTCTACGCTAACGCGGACTTATCCTTTCCATTTTGCATTGTCCGTCACTGTCAGTGTTCTCGTGCATTTTTATTACGCGTATTAATAAATAATCCACTATTTTCTCACACGTGTGGGAAACTAATTTGAATTTGAAATATTTGCTCGTCATTTAGTATCGCGATGGGACCGATGTAGCTTTATTAACCCTCTGTCGCGGAGTATGTACGTACACGTATTCTTCTTAATTCGCGTTACGCGCACTTTACACGCCGAGTTAACTTTGGATGCATACATTGAAATTCGGTTTAAGATAAACCATATTTATTAATTTACTTGAACTTGTATGATACGGAACAGGATTACACAGGGTGAGCCGCGTAAAGTGTTACTACCTATTTTCTCGGAAACTAAACATTTAATAGATAAATAGAAGAAAATGTTGTCGTTCGAAGCATTGTCCAGCTAGATCGATGGATTTTATCCTCCATGCGTGGCTTGCCGGTGGTTTTAATCTCCTCGTGTATGTTGTTAATTTCTTAAGCGCCGTGCTTTCTTTTTTTTTTTTTTTTAAGCAACCAAGTTTACCAAGGGTCGAGGAGCAGGCTGTCCAAGTTTCCCCTTTCTTCCCCTCGGCGAGATTACGATCTGTACGCGAAATCTGAGACCAAGCGTCGACCGCATGGAATTATCCTTCCATAACGTCAGCCGAGACCTAGGCCATAACACGGCATTGCCACATCTTGTCAGATAAAATGCAAGACTGGCGACGTTGTCGGTGAAACGAGAATATCTGGTACCGTCGCGCGTCGCCGTGGCATACTCCACAGATCGACGACCAAGAAATACGCGAGGTGATCGATCCACTCGTCGAGAAGGACACTTTAATGCGTAATCCATGGCATTTGAGCTGATGAGAGACCGAGATGCGTTCATTGGGCTTCCAACGAGACTCCAAGTCTCCAATTTACATTTTAGTGTATTCTTGCTGATAAGTAGAGACCACGAAGTGTAGGCAATCGATTTCGATGCGTTTTGGCCAAGAAGATATTATAGATAGAGAAGGGGAGTCCGACCTCTGGTTGTACCTACCACCGTTAAAAAGACAGGTGGATGGTTTTACGCGTCTTCCGAGTAACTTTTTACCAACGTAAACTTTTTATTCGATTCAACTCTGCTTATAGCATGAAGCAGTAGTGACCGAAATGGAGAACAAAGTTCCGAGTCCAATACGAACCTACGAACAAGTAAAAGAATTGAAGAAATAATTAATAATAATTATTTGGTACAGGACAGACATTCGTATATGCATGCCTTAAAAGTAACCAGACTAAACTAAGGTTCCCACGAGCAATACTAAGCTACGATAATTAAGGGAACTGTTACTACACTACGCAAAAATAGGAGGGACGCGAGACACGGCCGCGCGATCGCGAGATCCATACCGACCGAAGGATCCTCGAAGAACGATAGTAATCCTGAGAAATTTTTATACATCGTTATATCTGCTAGCTGGAATAACTAAAAATTAACTTCCGACAATAGTTACATTAATTATTAACAATATTTGTTCAAGCAACGACCGAGAATACGACTTTGCTGTAATATTAGACCGCGCGGACAGCGGTGGAGGCTTTTTCTAAAAATGTTGCAAATCATTACTAACCAATAAGTAAATAATTTGTACTTAAAATTCATACCTCTACGACTCTTGAAGTTTCCAACAAAAATCGTCCCGCAGTCAAACGGTTAAGAAGGCCTAAAGGTTGAAGACTATGCTGTTTGCGGAAGAGGTTTTCAACCCATGCTAAAGATGACTTTATCCTTCGTCACTTATTATTATTCTGAGCAACGTGTAACCGAGTGTTATCAAGTAGCTCAGCATAACCTGACAGTTCCCTTCACCAGTAAATGGTCTTTTTTCCGTCATTCCATCGTTCAAATTGATTAATTGCCATTGATAACGATTTGACGTGACTATTTCACCTAGTTTAAGTAATTCCAGCAGTAATCCAGCATACCTTTCATGTTCACGTACAGAGTAAAACTTGTTTCACGTGGGTTTAGTTAATGTTGTTAATTGACTGGATTATACCAATGTGCAGTCAGAATTTATATTAGGCTATTTTTTATATCTATTGATAACCAATAGCTTAGATATCGACATTTTCTCTAAACCGGCGTCATCCACATAATTTTATTATTACCACGATAGTAACAAATCAATTGTTATATATACATCATTATCAATGTATTTAGTAATAATTTATATGGTCTAATTTAAAATACTGAAAGCTTAAAAATTCAGGTATTCGTATAGTTTTGATACGCGGTGTACGAGTGCCAAAACCATCGATCTGGATGCTTTCGCTACATTCCCCGCCCTCTGTTAAGTACACTCCAGTTTCCCCAGCAAAACGTTCAGAAATTCCAAGTCGACCTTCGAGTCTTGGGAAAGAACCGCCCGAGGGTGAATGCGTTCTTCATCTACGCCGCGATAACAACGACTGATGAAACGATTCGAAACGGGAATGCACGCGTCAATCGGTACGCTATTATTATCGTTATTCTTATCATTGATTGTAATTATATGCCCACGTTAACGAGCCGCCCTGTCGTAATGATGGAAAACCATTTAAATAACAGGGCGCGAAGTGAACGTGACGTGAAGTCACGTCTGCACGGTTGTCAGCCTAAGAAGGCATGTTTCCACTGAAAACCGGTCGTTCGATTTCTATAATGTATTATATCGTCAACATTACGACGTCGTAACGTCGTCTTTTTTAAAAACTTGTAGACTCTCCCAGTGTAGTCGGTTCTTCTTGAGTCAATCTGATCTTACTAGACTCCGTGGACCAACTGATCACGTGTTGGTAAACTTTAGGATGGTTATTCGTTTGCTTAATTCTCAACTGACACGTGAGTAATGTCACGCAAGAAAATGACTTCAGTCTTCGGTTGATTTACCTGCTAGTTTCCACACTAATTACTTCGAAGCTGGTTCGATATCTGAAGACAGAAGAAGATAGATTGGTGTCTCCACCAAAAAATAGCCTTTTACGTAAAAATTAACGCAAGACAAGTCTCGACGGGTCCCGTACATACAACTTCCATAGCCCTTCATCCAACAGAACAATAACGCCACAGGTACAAACTTGTCGAAACTCGCGTGATCCTCGATCACAGTTCATAATTTCGAAACGCAGCTGTTATCGTCGTCATCTTTAATACCTATGCCAGGCTAGTCGAGTCGAACACTCGGCTCGGTTCTATCGCGATAACGGGGAACAATCGCGAAAAGGAATTCATCCGTTTCTCATATAATTGGCATACTCGTACGTAATCGCGAGTTAACTAGCGGATCGAAGGCGGCGAATGCGTCGCGGTTGATTTTTGCGACAGGAAAGGTCGCGGAAAAGGGACCTCGTTAGCGGGTGTGCGTCGAAGACGAGATCGAGGATCAATTAATTTTTCCATGTAATCGCGGTCGCGTAATGGCCAGCCTCGTTACGCACTCGAGGTAAACTCGTTAGCTCGAGTTCGAGAGGCTTATAATTATAATCAATCACACCGGCCAGCCCTGAAGAGGGGAGGATCGCCGTCGTAGTCGCGAGAAGGACAGCGAGGAATGAATAAATTTATTACGTAATCGTTAGCCCGCTTATCGCGACGGCGTGGAGCGCTAAAAATATTTTTCGTTCCCAATTGTGTAATCGACTCGATACCGTGAAATGGTAATTGCAAGCCTGCTGCTTGTAAGCGTTGTTAAACGGAACGCCAACGATATTACAGTATCGTGCAAAAGTCTGAGGCCGCCGTGCCGTACGAAGCTTGCATTACTCGTCGATAGACCCGTCTTAATCAAATTAACATGATGTGTATTTGTTATTACTTTATATATACTAGTATATACAGTGTATAGTATATAGTAGTAGTATGTATAGACTAGACTTTTTTGTACTAGTACTTTTATACTAGTATTTTTGCATAGTACTGTAAACGTTGCCTGCTTTCATCTGGCTGATGATGATGATGATTATTAAAGACGGATACGAGGGATCAATTATCGAAAGGCGGTCACTAAACACCTACGAAGTTATATAAACCGTGTAACGAGCTATTATCCTCGTAGAGAACGCTCGATAAGATCGTAACGAAACGAGTAAATTGGGCAAAGATTTGAAAAATGCGGTTACTGGACCTTGAAGCTTCTTACCGAGCAACGTTCTTTATCTTTATAATCTAACAGCCAGCCACGATTTTATTTATGTCATTTTTAAATGAGAATAATTCCCTTTTCGTCAAAGTATCACGATCAAGATATGATCCGTCGTCTGACAACCAGTCGTTGGAACAACGATGCGTGGTACAGTGTGATATTTCAACGATCTACCGGGACAAATGGTAATTTTCGAAATGTTCTAAAAGTGTTTGTGTATATTACAAATCAATAATACAATGTTCTTTTCATCAGAATAATAACAATAAGTACATTACATACAGGATAATTTTAGATAATGCAAGAAAACAAAATTTCAGAACATATAAGTATGTATTTGGTAGTTTGATTAGTAGTTTAAATACACAAATTGTCGGAGAGTTGACTAACATTTTGCAATAAAAATGTATCAATGTTAATATTTACATAATGTACAAAAATGAATTTTTCTGAAAACTATTATATTCCTGGACAATTATTTTTCTTGTCCTCGATGGATCAAAGCAATTCTCAACTTGTCAAGCTTTCTTGTACAAGGAACTTAATTATTGAATGTCATGAAAGCGTAATTACGATTCAGCGTTTATTTATTTATGTACGTTGAATTGTATATCCGCCGGACGAGGAATCGAGTCCAACACCCTAACAAAAAAAAGAGTGCTATATTTTCGAGAGATAATTGGGTTAAGCAGCCAAGTTGTTCGTTTCCTTCCAAGGAATCTTAAAGGCGGCGCGGCGCCGGAGAAGGCAAGTTTTTTCTCGTCAAGTTTAAGTAAAATAAAAAGCACGAAAATGTAAAGTGAAAACAGTCGGTTTCTGGAATACGCACAGAGAGAGGAATTGTTTTCGGTTGACAAAAGCTTTGAACATCAGGATGATTCATATATAAATCGGATTTTTTTTACACAGCTTTATTGAGAATAGCACCAAACTACGCCAACAATTGATTCGCGGTGGGTTTCTGAACGACAACGCATATAGCAGCTTTAACTCACGATAAACTCACTAAAATACACTGAATACCTCTCGAATAATCACCTTATAATCCAGATCCGATTCCATATGACTGCCATATGGGTGGTGTCCTCCACTGACAGAGGAAACATTGAAAAACGACACAGCGCGCTGCAGCGGTTCAACTGTGTATTTGTACAATTGATTACTGCATCAGCAAACTGCTTTTTTGATTCCTAAGGGAATTAGGAAGCTTCCTATCTGACGAAGAAAGTGTATTCTGTTGAAGAAAAATACGTAGAAAAATAAGCCACTCCTTTGTGCAGTTGTATCTATCACCAATAAAGTTGTGTACAAAAATTCCGATTTATACATCCTGCTCAAGTATTCTAAAGTTTCCGACCCACCCTGTAGAAGATCTACGTTGAATCGTTCGATCGGAGTTAGTACGCGTTTCGTTAGACGAAGCAGCGCCACATGCTCGGTAGGCCGTTTCATTGGTGATCTTTAATTGTCAGGTGTCGGTGAAACACACAGGCTTGTTCTGTGATCTATAACATAAATGTTTCTCGACACTGGCAACATCTGCTTGTCAGCTGTAAAACTGTTTGGCAAATATGGTCGCGAATGAAAGTCGTATTCCTCGTCAAAGAAACATAACTTCGGATAGGGGGTTACATACCTCTGGCTAGGCAGAAAGATAAGTGATTTTTAGTAATTATTTTAAATAGCGCTATTGTAGTAGATTGAACATGTTACAGTTACTCGTGATTTTTTGCTACAATTCTTCACTTTTTGTATGGCTTCGTAGACTTCTTGCTGCGATGTATGGCTTCATGGTCTGCACTGTTCTGCCCCCCCGAGACGCATGAATCTGGAAAATGTCAAAATATTATTGTAAACAAAATAATGATGTCGTTACAGTCTATTGAGTAAAATTTTGTAAATAAGAAATTTATATTATTAAAAAGTTATTTTAATTTAATTTGGTATCAATGTTGAAATAACACCAAAACTTACGTTATCCTGATTAATTTGGATTCGATGGATATCATTCACACTTTTATCTTAATATTTGTTTTCTACATTACATCAACTTAGTTTGGTATTCTTCGCTTGCGTACGATTCTTTTGGTTGGCACTAAATGGATTAAAAAACAAAAACAAAAAAAAAACGAAGCCAAATTGATTATTGGATCGATCCCATTGCCGAAGAACCGAGATTCGCGACGGTCGTTCGTTCAGGACCGGGCCAGACGTGAAAACGACAACTTTCGGTGGGTCGCTTTCTCCTCCTAGTGAAATGCGCGTGTGCTTACTACTCCTGCCGCGATTCCGGAATCAGGTTGGTGGGCCCAGCTCTCCCCATTTCCTCCTCACTCTTCGCTTTGGAAGGGCCTTCCTAAAATTGTTGTTAAGTCGGCCACGAAAAGCGAAACGCTCCGAAATGAAACCGCTTTCTTTCGGCTTGGCACCCGTTAGGCTAGTTCCAATAGTACTTTTGCCTGTGTCAAACGGAATCCGTTCTTAACGAATAAGCCTCAATTAATAATGGCATACTATTATTATCTTTTCAATAATTAATATATTTCAAAGAAATATCGAAGAAAGGGATACATTACTTTTACAAACTTTTTTATATTTACAGTTTATTCATAGGACGTTTAGTTTCGAGAATAAAAATTAACAACTTAAAAGTCCTTTTGAGGTCTAAAACATATGGTGCCATTTAAAAAAGTCAAGGTGACCTTAACATTTTTACATACAAAAGCATTTTTTCAGATTTAGAAATGTTCGAATATGTAGCTCATCAAAAACTGATAAACATTTTGTAATCGCACTACCGAAAATACCTAAAAAATTGTGGGATAACTTGACAGGTAAACCCTGGGTAAACCCTGAATATGCGTATGTTGGTTATACATATTATTATGGATTTTCGGTAAATCTAGCCTGGTATACGTCGAGGGCAACAGATTTTACTGGCGTATAAGCATAGCCGAGGTTGTCGATTATGAAATATCGAAACTGTGTCGTGATAAATCAGTTGACCGATTTGCCGCTTCTTTCTCTTGGCCGCGGCTCATGATACCGGGAGTGAAAGGAAGCAGCAGGATCAACAGGTTGTCTCGATCCCCATTTCGTGCGCCATCGTTAGACTGTAGCAACAGCTTAACCTTTAGCCGGGAAACGAAAGCGTCTTTGCTCGCATCGAGATCTCTATGCAACGCTGGAAAATGCAAACGCCTTGTTAACTTTTAACAGCCTGTTATTACTATTAGACCGAATCAAAAGTTTCTTTTCTGATTCTTTTTCTTTCCTTCTCTATCCTTTTCGACGAATATTTAAACTAATTTTATCTATTTTTCAAAGATCCGTCCTTGAAATTTTTCCTCTGAATGCTACGTAATTAGTCTCGTTTTACTATAGAAATAATGACGATGATGATGATAACGCATTTTTATGATTCCAAAAAAAGTAGCTGTACATAAATTTTTGAGCCAACATGTTATCTTGATATAAAAAATGTTTGTCCCTTGTGATATAATTTAACATACTTGCTCTTTGACATTAATTCCATTTTTTCTTTTCATTTCAGGTAAGTCACGGAAATTTAACATAGACGAATCTACGAGTAATTTCTCGTAAGTATAGCATGGTCATTTAAAGCTAAAGATTAAGAACCGTATCCTTAAACATCTAAATTTAAAAACAAAAAACTGGCAAACCAATTTCAAAATAAACGTCTCCAATAACACTTTCTTGCGCAGAAATTTAACTTTGAAAGAAACCACTATAATTTTTGCACAAATCCAATAATAATTATTGCATTATGCGCGACCGGGCAAACAGCGGCCGAAGGATGCCTCGGAAGCGACCGTGAATGAACGCAGCATCTGCGTGTTGGCTAAAGAGAAAAGCGCCACAAAGAGGATGAAGATAATCTCTGTGTACGTGGAAGAGAACGAGGAAAAGAGAAAAAGAGTGAAAGAGTAGGAGGATGAACGACAACGAAGGAGGAGAAAGGAATCCTTCCGTGAGCCGCGCGAGACTGCTGGCTCCTCGTGGTTTCCGCGTTCGCAGAACAGACATCGCGTTCAGTATACGGTGATACCGGTTCACCGGTGATTCAGAGCTTTATGCCTCTTCCACCAGAATTAACGTCCCTATACGCCCTCCTCCGTTGCATTTTTTCCCTTTCTCCGGCAATCGACGAGGGAGCCACCGAGAGAAAGAAAGGTCGTCGATGCGAATGAAAACGAAACGTCAACTCTTCTCAAGTCCACGCGTCGTGCATCTGTTCTCAAAGTACCGCAGCCAATGTTTCGATCTTCGTTACCTGCAAATCCTTATCGCAGTATTTATCAAACTTCACCTTACTGATCTAGATTGCTATTAAAGGATGAATTCTACGTTGTCTTAACACATATCGTTACCTTCCATTGCGAAAGAAAACCCCGAAAGGAGGCCGTATATATACGCTATTCGCAGTCAAAGGGTTAATCAAATAATCCTAATAATTAGCCTGCGGATGATTATGCAAATCTATCTATCTAATTCTCATACATTTTACACTGTTTCATCTATTACAAGTACATAAACATCCTCGGTCTACTAATAACAATTTCCTCGTTCGTTAGATAAGTCTATCGAAGTAACCAGTGGAGCATCAAAGAGAAAAAGAAATTGGAACGCGCGGTTGACGTTAGATCGCGAGAGGACCGTCGTCGTACGCAGCCTGTCCCCGTTTTCTACGTCAGATCGACCCACTTCCTGGTGCGTGGTTCGATCGTGACCGATCCATGAAATTAACGGTAACGGAGCGGCTGTGCTCGCCAGGTAAAATCGAAAGTGGCGAAATGCCGCGACATCGAGCCTCAGGAGGGAGTATATGTATACAGGACCGTTCCATGTCGGCTCGAGTGGGGCACGGAGAGAGGGTTCCTTGTTGTTCCTGAAGAAAGATATCTAACTACGCTCAACCGCTATTTTCCTTCTGTATGCGTTCATCGTTCGATAGCAACGCTCTTTCCAGGGCTCTTGATACTTGCTTTATCGAAATTTCTTATTAGTAGACTGCGAATGTTTATGTAAATTCAATTACTATGTGACCTATTCAAACGTCTCCCTACTTACTCGAAGATGGATAGGTCGAGGAGGATCGGTTCTTTGCTCTCCGAGATCGCCAGTGTCTCGCCTGTAGATTTGATATTAGCGAGAAAAAGTGAAAGAAAAAGTGTAAATAACAAGACTGAATACGCAGCAGAAACTGGTTAATAATGGTCAAGCTTGAACTTGCAATGGTTCGTCGGCATCTTGAAACGTGGGAATTATTAGGTATATAACTGTATACGATGAGCTTCGTAGGTTTTCTTAATTACCTATACCTTTTCAACCAAACTAAACTAAAGACGATGATATGTCAAGAAGTACGATGCAGGTTGGATCTAAACGCATACTACAAACCTTATGCATACCTAGGCATGCTTGTCATTTCATACGAATATTTTTACCATAACTAAACATTGCATAAAATCGTTCAGCTTCGTTTCTTTTTCACAATTATAAATGACATTATTGTTCTTTTTCATAGTTTTACAAGTTCAAATTATGAAAAAGATTGTACTTAATTTTGTCCTGGAAAGAAATACTTGAAAAAACCATGAAATTTCGACCACCATAGTAGAGCGACCACTTAAAAACCCATGGTCCACGGGGTTGTCGCGCGATTGGACATACTACGGGAAAGTGTCCAGAAAGAGATAGAAAGGTTGGCTGGACGAGGCGTGACAGAGAGAGACGGAACTTGAGCGTAGGAAGCGCAAAAGTGGTAGAATCTTGCGCGGTGCGCGCGTGAACGGTCGAGAGAGGGGAGCACGGGGCGTCGGGTGGGAGGTGGGGGCGGGTAAAAGCGGATGTTTGGCGAAGACGAGAGAGACGAAGCGTCGCGTTGCGTCGGTGGAGGGAACGTGGATGCGTGGCTATGCAAGGAGAAACGTTGAGAGCGACGAGGAGAGAGGGAAGGACAGAGAGTGAGCATATTCCTCGAGTGGAACGGAGCCGACGTTCGCGGCTACTCCAGTGTCTTTCCGGACGCCGCAGCTTTGAGCCACGCACGGCGTTCGTTCTCTCTCTCTTCCCTCTCTCTTTCTACCTGTCCGTCTATCGAAGTCTCTCCACCTCCTCTCTCCCTGAAACCGTCAGGCCTCTCTCCGTCAACCCCTTGAGCATCTTTCTCGCCGACTCCCCTACCCCTCGGATTCTTACCCTTTCCGGGCTTCCTCGTGCTGTCTCTCCTGGTCGGAACCCGGTCCCAGGACGACGTTGAGGCGCGTCTCGTCTCTCCCCCACCGTTAGGAACGGCGAGCTACGAGCCAATAGGAGCACCGCTTCCGGCAACGGTGACGGCCCAATGGGCGAACACCGACGACGCATAGAACGCTGACGGTCGTTGAATTTGACAGTCGGCACACGACGACCGCACCGTACTGCTCTCCTTCCGTGCGAGCCGCCTCCTCGGCTCTCCCTCCTGTTCTCCAGGACGCACCGACCGACTCGTGATCCGTTCCACCGCGGGGAGGACGCGCCACGTCCAGTGTGCTACCACGGTGTGTTGTTCGTTGCTTTCGTGCGGTGCTGAAAGACAAGCTTCTCGCGGAACCCGGGCTCTCTGTGGACGAGTTCGTACGGTAACGGTTCGTGGACACGTCGTCGCGGGGGAGAGAGGGGAAAGAAAGAGGGCCTGGATCCGCGTTCCGTTACACGCAAGAGGGTAGTCGAATCTCGACCACGTGGCTGAACATCCGAGCCAGGCTTATTTTCATGAACAACTGCGGTGAACGATCCAACGAACAAAAAATTCGAGTCTTGTCGAATTTGGACAAAATCCAGGGATACTTTAGAGGATCGTGTTTTTAATTCAGGATACGCTCTCTCTCTCTCTTTCTCTCTCTCTCTCTCTCTCTCTCTCTCTCTCTCTCTCTCTCTCTCTCTCTCTCTCTCTTCCTCCTCCTCCTCCTCCTCCTCCTCCTCCTTCCGGTAATTTTCGCGTTTTTCCAAATGACGACTGGCCCTCGAATCCGATCGAGTTTCGCGCGAATGCGGAGATAAGCAGACAACGGCGGCCGGGAAGCCTCGGTTATGATCTCCGTCGGTTGTGATCTGCGACGATAAACATTCTCGCGTGAAAAGACGTTCGCGGTGGGTCTGGTGCGATAAGAGACAAGTGATATCGAGGGATTTTGGTGCGACGGAGGGGGATAAACGAGGAGAAGAGGGACTTAAATGTGCGCGTGAAAGAAATCGATGAGCTGCGCTATGGAGTATCAGCAATTGGCGCCACCCCCGGTACCAGTAACGCTGCACCCGGCGCATCATCAGCAACAACATCAACAACCGGTGCAACCTCCCCATCCGCACATCGTGGTCGCGCCTGCGCTACAGCAACAACCCCAACAACCACCGCCGCCACCGTTACCGCCCACCTCGCACGGTCATCAGGTGCACGCACCACTTCCGCCTATCCACGACGACAGCACCAGCTCGCGATGGAGCCAGTACCAGCATCTCTGGAGGCAGCATCATGTCTACGTAAACGGTAGGCATTTTTCTGCGAGACGTACGCTAAGGATAGGAGAAGGAATAGCTACTTTGCTGGAAAAACGGCGTGTCTCTGCAAACGGTACAACCTTTTCCTTAAGATGTAAGGGACTTTTTGGCGAGACGTATGCTAAGGATAGGAATAGCTGCTTTACAGAAAAGGAAAAATATGTATCTCTGCAAATGTTACAACGCTTTGTTTGAGACGCGAGGGATGATTGCCTCTAACCGACGGGGGTTGTAAAATCAACTTTTAACGACGGTTTTCCTTTAAATTGTTTCAAAAGTTTCTTTCGGTCTGTCAACGCTAGGTTTACGAAGATTTCAACTATCTTCGCTGTAGTTGGTGTCTACTTTATAAGAACTTTTTTATCGTGTTTATATCTACGCTGTATATCAAAATTATATGAACACTTTGATTTTTGTGGTTTCAGTGGCTTGAAACAGTTTTTCATAAAAAAAATAATTGTACTATGATATTCAACGTGACAGAAAAACAATTGAACAAAACTAATATGGAAAGACTTAACGTTACCACAGCTAAAAGTCGATTTTTATACCTTGTCAAAAATATACAAACACTTATTAAAACAACAATTGTATTCACATCAACGAATTATTAAGAGATGTCTCGTATGAATAGGCTGATGAAAATTTACGTTAGAGGCAGTATTGACTCTCTACAAATAAGAAGAACCGTTATTTGGAGCATAAATTGAGAACAGATATTTCTGATTCACGTGGTCGATGAGAATATCCAGTCAATCCCCTAAGTATTTGTTCTGTCTACGTATCGAGGAGATTTGTTTAAATTAAATTATAGACATGATGTTTTCAAATAAATTTTCCGTTATAAATATATACACGAATAAACTTTGAACGTGTATATATTTATAATGAAAAATTTATTTGAAAACATCGAACCTATTAGTTGATTTAAATTTTGTTTAATAGACACAAAGAATAGGAGTACTTATGGGACTGTATATGTATAATTTCATTCTGAAATCGTCTCAACAGCGGTTATTGCATAAGTAAGAGACGTACGTTAAGGATAATAAGCACCTTCTTCAAACGCAATCAAGCTTCTCGGTAAATGATAGGATATTTTCTTTGTGATCTACGCTAAAAACAGGTACCTTTGCCTCGTGTGGATGTTGATAATCTACTTTGGAACAAGTTTTCTTCGAAACTCGTTAGGAACGATGAGAATCTACTTTAGAGGCATTTTCGTACCTTTACGAACAATATTAACCTTCCTTTGACGTATGCTTGAGAAATAGATATCTGTTAACAATTGGATGCTCAGAATATCTATAGTCGAATTGATAACTCCATATCTTCTGTACCCCTCGGAACATTAAAACTTTTGTTTCAACTATGTTTTGCTAAAACCCCATGTTTTTGAGGTATTGTGATGAAAAATGTAACTTTCAGAATATATAGTGAAAAATGTATCTGTCAGAAAATGTTTGCATGCCATTGTATCTTGATTTATGAAATGTATTTTTCATACTTGCTCCATATGTTTCCTATACTACAATGCACATTAAATGAATAAATGCTTCAGTCGAATGATCATTTGCTTTGAAAACAGCTTCTTGATCACATACATAAGAGGTATTTGTGTCTGACGTCTGCGGTTGGAACCAGTTTCTAGGAGTAGTCTGCCCTCTTTCAGTCAGAACTCTAATGTAAACTGAAGCTACTATTTACCAAGAGTTAATGATTTTTTATTCTTAATTCAATCTAGTTTTACCATTGTTGCGTTGACAATTTGTGTACATTCTTTGATCCATAATTCAGACCAGGATCTATTTTGCAGCAAACACCTTAAACAAATTTCAATTTCTCATTTACAATTGTGACAGGGACTTTATACAGCGGTCTATCCTTTAAACCTGATTTCTACCGCAGACTCATCGTTCCTGTTAAGAGCAAGAATGAACCTTGATTAAGTTTGACTTTATACGTTGGTATACGTTGATGTCAGGTGCGTATTCTCTGATCCTTGTTGATGATCTATTTTACAATCAACGACTATTGAAAATTGTCAGTATCCAAAGTGACTACTTTGATCTCTATGCACTGGGGTTACAGTTTGATCTGTTTGCATGGTTTTAGACTCTGGTTTCTGATTTCACTTACTTAAAGAAGACTAGTCTTTCGACTACACTGTGGATCATAACTATAATATCCGTCATATTTTTAAACGTTTCCGAACTTTTGAGAAGGAATGTGTTGGAATATTTACTATAATTCAATCTTTCATTTTACTGCAAAAATAAATGTACTGAATTAATGTAGTGAATTACAATTCTTCACTTTCAATATTTTTCTATATCATTGCATTCTGTGTGGATTTTGTAGTTTCGTACACATCTGAATGTCCTATAGATGCATAACAATCCGTAGTCTAATAATAATTCAGCGAGGTAATAATTCGGAATAACAAATAGTCGGAAGGTAAAAGTCACGGAGAAAGTTTCCTGCAAAGTATAATCTGAATTGATAGCTGGATTATGGTGTAATATCGTTGTGGATAAAATATAGGTAACCAGATTTAAGCAACAGGTGGCCGTTTCTGTTTCACGATTACTGTCTCGTTTCCAGTGATAGCGTCTCTCATTTTTCCTCCGCTATTCTGACAACTTTTCTCGATAAAGATACCCTAATTAATGCCACGGATTTATCATACTTGAAATCTCTTAAGTATCGTACTACGTATTACTATTATGGCAAAATGGAAATTGTCAAGTGTCGAAATATTCAAGTTACTCGCTGTAAGTAAGCAAGTAAAATTGCAAGAAATTTAACGTATCGAATGATGGGGAATCTCTACGGTATTATTTATGCGATTATTTATTTTGCGTTGAGCTGGCCCGCGTTCTCTATCGCTGAAAGTTATTTATTGCCCACGGTCCGAGTTAACGGGGTTTGAACATGGAGCGTGAATGAATCATACGTGTCCGTATGCGAACGTGTGAATTCACCTATGCACCTATCCTACTTGCGACGGAATCGACTCAAGGCTATTAACATTTGCATCCTCCCACGTCTTCCATTTCCTCTCTCTTTCTCTCTATCTTCTTTTAAGACGACTATTGCTCGCTCTCGGTTGCTCTTGCTCTTTTCTTCAAAGAAAAGCGAGTGACGGAAGAATACGTTCTTAGCGAATAGTGACAAGACTCTCTATTATACAAACTTTGTTTTATCTTTTGCCAATAAAAACTTTAGCTTGTAAAAAAAGTAATCGTAGATTTTCCTCGGAAAATTGCGTTTGTAATTATTCGGTTGTTGAAACAAATTTTGAATCAAGTATAAAGTACAAATGGCTAGAAACACACACAAGCATAAGCACGCGATGCTACATCATATTTCGAGGCCTATTAAACACGAGTGAGAAGACGCGTGCTTGCTTCCCGCAGCAGTTAACGTGTTAAAAATAACAGTGGACTGAATGCTCTCTTGGCCTATCGTTGCCAATTGCATGACCGTCATTTTCACAACGCCTTTTACGCGGTTGGACTTTCCTGCTTGCTCTTTTCCTAGACTAGCCAAGCATCCTTATTCGTGGAAACTTGGCGACTCGCGTGAAAAATACCTCGATACTCAGACAATCGTCATTTTCATTTCTTAGCCAAACGTTTCTTTAGTCATAAATCTCTTTTTAACCGACTTCGAAAAGGAGGAGGTTACTCAATTCGATATGTATATTTTTTTCTTTCTTTTTTTTTTTTTTTTTTTTTTTTTTATTCGACCATATATCGGATCGTTCGAAAAGTAATTTCTAATTAGTAAATAATTCTGATTTCGACCTTTTATTTGGATCTTGTTCAGTACAGAAATGTTTATAACATTAAAAATGACTATGTAGAAATAAACGTCAGCCTAGATTAGTGTATACCACTGTAAATACCAACAAGACTTGGTTGCCAGTTTTTACAATGTTTCGATAGGCGATGTAGATGACTTGGATTACCATACATGTTGAATTTGGGTTTAG